CTGCTTACAAGTTAATTGTACGTAATATATTATAATGTGTATATATGTTTATATATATAGTGAGTTATATGTGATCTGTTTCCTTTTTTAAAAAGCTTATTTTTTTTAAATATACATTTATTTTATTTTTGAATATTCTTTCACTTATTTAATTATTATTTAATACTTATTTAGTCACCAATTGGAGGAAAAATTGTAGTGTTGCAATCAAGTTTACCAAATATTAATCCGGGAGCATTAAAATCTCGTGAAGATCCAAAATCATTGGGTACACCAAAGGTAATTTTCAATAATAATGACAAAAATTCTTAAGTATTTTATTACTTGATATTTTTTATTAAAAATTTCCTATTATTTTATAGGAGTCAGCATTACTACAACCTGCTGATAATTTTTATAAAAAATTTGCAGTAGATTGTTCAAGGTCTCAAATTTGCGTTGAGATGTTTTTACTTGGTTCACAATATGCAGATGTTGCTACATTAGGTGAAATAAATTTTTTTTAAAAAAAATGTATATATCGTTTATATAAATAATTATTAATATTAAAAAAGAATATTCATTATTATTATTATTATTATTATTATTATTAAAGGATGTTGTCCGAGATTCACTGGAGGTCAAACATTTTTTTACCCGTCATTCAATGCAGGTAGAACCGAAGATGCACTTAAATTTGCACATGAATTTGCAGAATTTTTGGCTAGCCCGATTGCTCTTGAGGCTGTTATGCGCGTCCGAGCATCTAAAGGTAAAAAATAAATAAGTTATTAACGTTATATTTCCTTTAATTATTTAAATGAATCTATTTTATTAACAATTTATTATTGAATAGGCATTCATATGACAGCTTTTCATGGTAATTTCTTCGTTCGCCAAACCGATTTACTATCTTTACCGAATGTACCAAGGGATTGTTCTTATGCAATTGAACTTGGCATTGAAGAAAATATAAGTTCTACAACAGTTTGTTTCCAGACTGCATTATTACATACAACTTGTTTTGGTAAGATTATTACTACATTTTATTTTTATTTTTATTTCTATTTT